TTTTCAAGTTTACGAAAATTCACAAAATTTTATAATAAGGTTGATAGCTGAAAACAGTAATCAAGTTTAGTTTTTAGTGCTGACAGATACAAGATTATATCGTGCTCTTTATGCTTATATCAAATCTAATAATATAAAATTATAAAAGAAATATACATAAAACAATGATATACATATACGTAAGACTAGACTTTAAGAGATAGTGTAGATATTATGTAATTTAGTATATGGCTAATGTACTAGCTTATAAAGCCAATAAATCATATATATAAAAGTTTTTAGTAAGTAATTCTGATTTTGAAAAAAAAATTACTCATTTAAAAGAGACGGTTTTTTATTACATTCTTAAATACTATTTGATATTTTAACATCATTAAATTATTAAGCTCTTTAGAAATTCTTTATTCCAACTGTATTTATATATATATATATATATATATATATATATGTGTGTGTGTGTGTGTGTATATATACTAGATGACCCGACAGACGTCCTGTACCTACGTCTACATTTTAAGTTCCAAATTTTTTAATATCCCTATCCTATCCTTTTTAATATTCTACTTAATGTCCTTCCATTAATGGTCTTAGTTGATCAATACAAGGAATTCAGACAGAATAAATATATAATATTTATCTACGGTAAAGAACAATATCACCTTTGTTATTTCCAACCAATATAATTGCTTTAATTTATATAATAGTCTATAATTTTTATAATCGCGTACCCTATATTAGTTGTTTTTGGCAATTACAATTTCTAAATTACATTTTTCTTACTAATAATTCAATAAACATTATAACTTTAGTTAAAATCTTAGGTGAATTAATTTGTAAAACCTAGTCCAAATGGCACTATTCAATCTAAGATCATGAACTTGCTAAATATTTCATATTCAATGCCAAACAAATGAATTTTTGACACATGAAACAAAAATCTAAATATTTTTTTTAATAAGTAGAAATATTCTTTTGTATTTAAATAATTTAGTAAAAGCAAAATACAACATGCATTATACGCAATTTTTGACGTATTGTGCTATTTATTAAACTAAATTATAAATTTTCTAGTGTCAAACGTATGTTGTATATCTTATATTGTTTTAATTTCTGGCACATCTCAGCTGGTTTTTGGCAATAATATTGTAGATATTACATTTTTCTTATTTATAGTCATGTATATGGATATTATATACTAATATTGTCTAGGCTACCTTAAACTAAATTCAAATTTCAAGTTATTTTTGGCAGATGACAGTTCTTATGTGTCGAAATGTTGTCAATGTCAAACAATATGTTGTTTTTGCAATTTTTTTCATTTATTTCTACAGTATTACTATAGTTTTATAATTGCCTATATCTTAAAAATTTCCCTCGACAAACTCTAAAAAGATTTAGTAAAATCCGTTTAGGAGGAGTACCAATTTATACATCATTAGAGAAGAATTTTATATATAAGATATAATATATATATATATATATATATATGTATATATATATATATATATTTTGTAAACTAATGAATGTCTCTGTACTTCTAAATTTAAAAAATGTAAATTCTACTTCTAATATATATTAATTTATTGCATATTATAACCGACTAATAGCTGTTCATACATCCAAACATTTATTCATCATTGCGCCATGTGCTTATGATAATATTGAATCTCCAATAATAAAAATATTAAGAGTAGTAAGTTATTGTTCACGTGGGATCGTGACTCCCCTTGTCAACTGTTAAATCCACATTATCGTGATCATTTTCTTAAGATAAATACCAGGGACGTCTCAGAGAGGAAGGAAAGCCTTGAACATAGGATGGCTATGGATTCCCTCTGAAGAGGTGTGACTACTAGTTTATTATTACAGTCTTTATCAAAGACAATAAAATACGTGTGTCATGGCGGTAATAATGTTGATGAGTTTAAATAGAAATTATAGAGATTTATTTGATACTGAACTTCAAGACCCCAAGTTGAATTTCTGTAGTCAGTTCCATAGACATAAGCTGCACCAATAGCTAAATTAATTGAATATCATGATAATTGAAAATTAACTGTTAGCTCTAACTAGTTAACTTCCCGTAGGGTAAGTTATTGTAATGGGCCGAAAATCGAAATTGAAAATTTTTACATTTCTCGACGTTTTGAAAGTTTCTGAACATTTTGGCATACCTCAGAAAAAATGGATGTGTGTGTATGTGTGTGTATGTATGTATGGATACAAATTTCCAGTCACGTTTTCGGGTGCACAGATCAACCGATTTGAATGGTTCAAAAAACATTCGATTTCTATTGATAGGGAAAAGAGCTGATTAGTTTTTGGCAAAGGCAGGTCCAGCCGTTTCGGAGATACGGAGCAAAGAGTGCAGAAAGTAGAAATCGAGTTTTTGAGAAAACGGAGCATCCGATTTGAATGATCTAAAAAAACATTCAATTAGTAATGATTGGGAGAAGTGTTTATTAGTTTTTGGCAAAGGCAGGCCCAGCTATTTCGAAAATACGAAGCTAAATATGTAAAAAATGGCAGTTTTTGAGGGAACTAAGCGTCCAATTTGAATGATTCAAAGAACTTTCTGCTTGTCTTAACAAAATAATTGATTTTGGAAAAAAAAACTTGTTTCAATTTTTTTTTTCCAAAAAAAAGTTTTTTTGTATATCGAAAATAATTCAGATTTTATTTTTAATTCTGACTATAGTTCTAATATACTTTAAACAAATAATTTCAACTTTGCAATTCAGTTTATATAATTCTTATGAATATTAAACAATGTTACAATATTTATAATAATCTATTTGAAAACGTTCAGTATTCCTCGAACATTCCGTTACGGTACGGGAAGTTCCAGCAATTTGCCTTAAGGCACAATGCCACCCACCCCACTAGTTTATTAAATTTCAATTGACTTGATAATTACAAACTGTTTGAAACTATTCCTAATTTAATTGTATTAGTGTTTTTTCCTGGTCGGTAGTAGAATTTGAATGAAAACTCTCGGACACCCGCACAATAAATCGATAGCACTACTTTTGTATGTACCATCATAATATAAACGATTTTAAATTCAAAATAATATTATAATTCTACTTTATATGCGAGGTTGAGACAAACGTCGAAGCAGATCTTTACTACTTGAGACCATCATTTGTAATAATTGCACAATAAAACGAACAGCAAATACGTTCTATATGCAGGTAGAGCACATAACGCATTGCGAAAATATTATTTCCTCACGACACCACTTGAAATTGGTATCTCGAAATACCTTCCACAGGGTTATCGAGAAAATATTAAAATACCTATATAATATTTTTTAATCGAAAATGATTTTTTTTTTGCATATCTTCACGTTTCAGAGGTTTCTAAACATTTTGGCATACCCCAGAAAAAATGGATGTGTGTGTGTTTGTTTTGTGGTTCGCATTTTTTCGTTAACGTTTTTGGGCGTGCGGATCATCCGATTTGAATGGTTCAAAAAACATTCGATTCTTATTGATAGGGAGATGTGCTGATTAATTTTTAGCAAAGGCAAGTCTAGTCGTTATGGAGATACGGAGCGAAGAGTGCAGAAAATAGAAATCGAGTTTTTGAGAGAACGGTGCATCCAATGTGAATGATCTAAAAAACATTCAATTTGTAATGATTGGGAGAAGTGGTAATTAATTTTTAGCAAAGGCAGGTCGAGCCATTTCGAAGATACAGAGCTAAATGTGCAAAAAATGGCAGTTTTTGAGAGAAATAAGCATCCGAATTGAATGATTCAAAAAACTTTCTGCTTGTGTTCACAAAACAATTTTTTTTTGAAAAAAATGTATTTTCAAAAAAAAATTTTTTTGTATATCGAAAATAATTCAGATTTCAATTTTAGTTCTGCTTAAGTTTTAAAGCTCAATTATATACTTTAAATAAATAATTTTGACTTTGTGATTCAGTTTATATAATTCTTATAAAGTTTAAACAATGGTACAGTATTTATGATAATCTATTTGAAAACATTTAATTTTCCTCGAACATTTCGTTACGGTACGGGAAGTTCCAGCAATTTGCCTCGGGACACGATGCCATATACCAGTAGTTAAATATTTCTATCAAAATACAAACACGTAATGTTATTAGTTAAACTAAACCACATATTGTGTTGTTTTATAAGATTCCTGAAAGATAATCAACAATACCCTCTACACATTGATGGTTTAGGAATCCAACTTTTATGAACAAAATTCCACAATTCTGAAATTTGCACTGTAAAAAATTCATCGATTTTTAGTTGAACTCGTTAAAAATTCCTTTATGATGTTTTAGACTTTACTCGAAAAAATCTTTATCCATTTCATCTCTTGTGCATATTATATAAATCACTTTTAAAAAAGTCGATAAATCTCAAGTACATATAAATCTATAAAAATTTAAATATTGCACATGAAATCTAGGCTTGTATGGAGATTGATTAGATTTTATAATGGAGAATTAATGACTAATATTATGTTTAATTTTTGTCTGTTTACCTACAGCATTTTATAGTTATGAACCGAATTTTTAATCTGCTACTAAATATTCTATAAATAAATTTATTTGGTCACCTTTTATGAATAAAATAGAAAAAAATCACTAATTATTATCAAGGTAAAAGGTTAATTCTTTCTATTTAAAATACTTAAATAAGTGTTTAGCTGTATAATAAAAAAATATAGCTCTTTACAAATATATCCTATGTTTTTCTCAAGAAACTTTTCCGAAGAAACCAAAGCTCCGAAGTGAATTCTAAAAGCTTTTTCTCCATATTATAAAATATACCATATAAGAATACCATGTTTGCTATTTTGAGAATTTTATGAATCTCCACATGGTTATAGAGTTAATAATAAAAACGCATACCTTTAAAAATATAGGCAAAATTTGCTGTTCAAAATTTTGTACAACTATGCCCAACAGAACATTGTTTCTTTAATTTCATGTATATTTTTATTCTATAATAATTTAATTTGTTTGTTTTATTTTAGGATTTCATCATCTTGACTGCGATATTACTAAATATTTCGTCTTGTGTTGCTCATTATCAATCCGGACTTCTTCACACATCAGTCATAGCAAGTGGTCATTTCAACAATAGACCTTATAGGCTGGGTTCACCGTACACCTTGGTTGAAAGAAGATTTGGCTCACCAACGGCGATCAGTAAAAGCCAAATACAGCCAAGGATACATCATGTTAATCCAGCTAAATCTTTGCAAGGTTATCCTAGATTGCATTCGCCAGATCTTTCGTTGGAAGATCGGGTTATAAGCAAATTGTTAGGTCAGTCATAAAATAATATTAAATATGATTTGAATTGAAAATGTGTATGAATACTTGTTAATTATTCGTTGGTATAGGGACGCACGTAGCGATTCTTCGCCAAGAAGAACGTCTTTGGCCACACGGAGTATTTATACCACCCACAAATGCTAAGAGAATGGGATATGGGCCTAATGAAATAGAAAATACCGATTACGAAGTTTGGCGTAAGTACAAAAACAATTATGCAATAAAATGTAGAGACATGTTATGTTCGTGTATTATACAAGATTCCAATTTGATTACTACAGGAGAATACGATCCATTTCTCCTGACTGGTTTTGAAGCTTTGGCAGCAGTACAAAGATTAACAGCAAAAGGAGAACTATTTTTTGGAGAAATTCCTCACGACCGACAATTGCGTTGGTTAAACTTTTTACGAAAATGTAACAGATTAGCAGGTCATATAAGAGCGAGTGAAAGACCTGGATTCCCTTACTACAGAATATAAAATTAAGGTATACCGTAAGTTCCTTTCCTTTTTAATATGAAATACTTACTTAAGATGTCTCGCGAAGCCTTTTAAATTGTCTACAAATAACTCTTAATATCTCGCTGAAAAATTGGCTTTAATTTGAAAAAGAGCTTCTTAAAAATTAAGCCATTTCAAGTCTTTTGGCTTTGTTGCAACAAATAAATTACAATAAGCATTAATGATGCTAACTAAGTACGTTTTCTATGCACACTTCTATCTAAATTACGTGTTTAGTCTCCTGTGCCATCTTTAGAAATAAATCCTTTACATGTAACATAATTTACTTACAGGTATCTCTAAAGAGATTACAATTCATGTAGTTGAGATGCACCTGTGAGAAACTAATTATCATATCTCATCATATTTAAAGTTCAAAATAAAAAAAAAATCGGATAGATCCAAAACAGATGGCTAATTAACCTAATATTTTTTCACACGTGCCAAATACAGCTCGAAGTATGGAGACAAAAAAAATTTTGGTACGCCCTATAATTTTTGATTATAGAAGTCCATATAAAGACAATCTTGCATATAAATCTGTTTTTGACCTTTATTTAATTTTACATTATGTAAATCGCTCAGATTAAAAAATCTCATGACACATGACTTGCAAGAACAAAATAATTGTAATTATATTTATATGAAGTATTAATGAGCCTGTTGAAATTCTGATGACACTGCAAAATGATATTAAAATGCATTTTAACCAGTATTTCTTTTTAGATTGAGTAAGATACTTCTATATAATTAGGATAAATGTAAAAAGTTACCATTAGGCAATTAAAAAAATAAATTATTTTTAAGAATCTTTATTTTTTTAGATAAATTATTTATAATTTTTTTAACAAAGAAAATTGTTTATAAACTTTCATTTTATTAGAGAATTGATATATTTATAAAAATATAATTTCAGGCACGTCAATATGACAATTTTTAATTGATTTTCTACTATTTTAGAAATATCTTATATTAACAGTCTGAAAATATGTTTTCTGAACTTATATACTGGCATCACAGCTTATAAACTAATACGATATCAATTATGCCTAGAACTGATAAAATAATACATTTATTACAGTGCTGTGTTTTCAAAACATAATTTCGATACATGATTTAACAACACAAATACTACTCACACTTTTACAAATTTATATCATCAATTTTTTAATTAATGAAATTTTTTAGTTACTCTTTATTTACAGAGTATCATAATACTCCAATTAATGTATACTTTGAATCATTTTCATCATATAGACGTTTTATAAACATTAGAGTATTGATTTGGATATCTTAAAGTAAATATGATTGCGAGTGGTAATTTGGTCCCTTCAAAGATCTTAATGATAACTTAGCTTCAACAAGAGTATTATACTTTTTGAGTAATATATATATTTAATTGTATTAAATAAAATATCATCAGTAAAATATATATGAAAACCATAAATATGATATTTTTAACAAAATATAATATACAATTTAAACACGTAACTTAATTATGATATGAGAAAAAAATTGGTCATTTTATATAAAGTGGTGCTTGCAATAAGAGCGTAGCTAGAGAAAGTCCATAAATAATATAATTATTCAACTGCACTTTTGAAGATGAATTACAAAGATCACCTTGACAAAAACACATATATACCTTTTTATAATTCCAAACCGTGTAAGCACACCTATCTTCTCCATCATCGGGTCCTCGTTGCAGACACATTCTTTGGGTTGCTTTGCCATATTCTGTAAAAAAAAGTAATGCAGATTATTTATACTTACAAAAGACTTCAAAATCTTGCAAGTTTAATAATCAATACAAATATTATATGAGCCAACCAAGTTTACATTATATGAGTAAATTGGTTTTAACCTGATAGAACTTTAAAAACACCTTGTTTTATTAATTACTTTACATTATTATTAAAAATACTCAAACTCGGGCATGATTGAGATAGTCATTTACCATCATCTTTGAAGCTGTTTCCACCTTCAAGAATTTTTCCACACCACCCGGAGGCACAAGGCACTGCTTCTACACCCTTTTCATCTTCGACTTGAGTGGCATTAAATGTAAAAGGATCTCTACAAGAGCCTAAATCTCCCCTGGATCGACATCGAAAGCAACGTTTAATAAGAGCTGAAAATAAATTATAAAATAATTCATATATGAAATCAAATACAAAGGATCAATTATTATAAAATATAAATCAACAAAGGAACAATAGAATTTTGGGGAAGTAAAAATTTGTTAGAAGATGTGCATTTGGTTTTGGACTTTTGAATATGTATAAAACAAATTATAAATGCTTGAGAAACAAAAATTTTAGCATTTATATTTAAGCATTATAAAACATAAATCAATAAAAAATAATAGAAGCTTGGGGAAATTGAAATGTGTTAGAAGAAGTGCATTTGGTTTTGTACTTCTAAATATGTATAAAACAAATTATAAATGCTTGAGAAACAAAAATTTAAGCATTATAAAACATAAATAAATAAAAGAATAATAGAAGCTTGTGGAAATTGAAATGTGTTAGAAGAAGTGCATTTGGTTGTGGACTTTTATATATGTATAAAACAAGTTATGAATGCTTGAGAAACAAAAATTTAAACAATGAAATAGCTTTAAATATTTTTTTCTTTGCAATAATGCAAGTGAAAAAATGTCTGTAATAAATTAAAAAAATTGAATATTTAAGTAAATAAATGATTTATCAAAGAGTTTTATTTAAGAATAAATTATTATTGAATGAAACTCATATATATATATGAGTATGAGATCCTCAAATATTTGATTTAAAAAAAAGCTAAATTTAACAAAATTAGTAGCTTATTCATATTGTGATTGCTAGTGGGCATTTATAAATAATTAAATAAAGAAATAAATATATTAGTTCAAGAAACACACTTGAATTTGATGTTCTTAAAGCTGTAATGTTGTATGAACTACTATATATTATTTTTTAAACTAAAGTTTTGACAGTTTTGTAAGTGTATGTAATAACTTTTTTATTCTGAAATATATAAGAATAAAGATAAATATGACGCTTTAAAGAATACTTTTACATAATAAAAAATCCTGGAATTTCGTATAATTTGTCATTCATTATTTTAACAAAGAACAAATGATTCATAACATCAAAATGTCACGGAGATTTCGTCTGGCATAAGCTACAAACCTGAACTTTCATAAACTTTTAAATTCCAATTCTAATTAAATAATAATTAATAAATTATACAACTGCACTTATTTTTATAATATTTTATTGTTTAAACACCGAATACCCATTAAAAATTCTCTGAATGTAATTCATTTAACATCGTCTCTATCATAATTCTCTATAATGTATAAAAATATTTTAATTACCTTCCGAATATGCGAAAGCACAAATAAAAATTCCTATTGATATAAATATATTATTTATATGCATTTTATAATATAATTTGTGTATATTTTTTTATACCAGCTGTTAAGTCTTAAAGAAAGAAAGCACAGCACAACATATAAGAATGCGAAGCGCATGACATTTGACGTATGAGTTATGACGGAAAGGTGCGCTTCTTGAATTGTGCAAGTGTTTATGTTTATTTATTTTCATTTCTTTAATTTTTGTGTATATTTCGTTTAAATCAAAACGGGTGGATAGGTACATAAATTGAATCTGTAATTTTATATTGGCACAAAATATATAAAAAAACAAATTATTAATTTTTTTCATTATTAAATCGTTCATGTGAAAGATAAATTCGAGGATTCATATAAAGATTCAATAATACAAAATTTACAGAGTGCTTTTATATACACCACTGTTCAAAAACTATCCAAAAATTTATATTTAATAAAGTGTAAGATCCAACGAGACAATTAATTCAATATTTGAAATTATACATCTGAATATTCTTATTTGATTCTCATTTGATTCTTATTTGATGTAACAATCATTGTCATGTACAAAAGTGAAATGAATTTTATATATTTTAAACATAAGCAAAATTTTTAACAAAACCTAACAAATAATTATGAAGTAGTGTAAGCGCCACTTCTCATTTTCTACTCTTTTTTATCTATGAGTTTAATAAACATGGTTTTAAGATTCCGTATTCTAAATTCGCGCTTAATCTCAGTTGGTAGCACTTTATCCATTCGCTCCGAGCGTGACTGCAGCGCCGTAATAAATATAAACTGATTGGGGCTATCAGTGTGTGTTTTTCATGGGTTTTACATGTTTGTTAAAGAAAAAAGATATTAAATAATTGTTATAAATAATAATAAACAAGATACAGTAATAATGTGAACGCTGAATGTTTATTGAAATTATTAAATTTACTTCAACGTACTTAAAACATAGTTAAGTATAATCATTAATTAAATAAAGAAATGCAGTAAATAATTTTAAGGTTAAGTGCCTCAAAGCTTATGTCATAATCTCGGAATAGTTCTTAATAAAAATAATATAATAATGATAAATAATATTTTATCAATAGAATAAGTAAATAATAAATTAATTTACTCATTTTTTTGGTCAAACTAAAGACTTAGACACTATTATAAAGACATAATTTAGACATTATTATCAAAGACAAGACCCATCAAATAAAATTGCAGGAAAAAAACTACATTAACTTTTCGAGACTTGTAAATTGAAGGAAATATTGTTGACAAGTAGGTAGGACTCAATACCTCGACCGATTCACTGCAAATGCGATCATAGGGCTTGGGAACCCACGGTGATCCATCAACACTACAAATATATATTTCGCATTATTTCAGCATTGTATTAATTAAACTGTTTGCAAAATAAACATTTTTTCGCTATGTGATAACTTTTATTTTTCTTTTAATCATAAAATTACAATTATTATATAATAAAATGTAATTAATATATAAATAATAGTTATACATAATCAATATACAATATATAAATATGTATTTTTCATTATTTCAGGCTTGTATTAATTACATTGTTTTACAAAACATTTTTTTAGTAAGCATTAAATTTTGATAATACAACAATTTATTGACTTATAATTTTTCTTTTTGCTAAACATAACAATTTTACAACTATTCATAATACTCCAAATTGTATTTTTATAACAATAAGGTTATGATACTTACTTTATTCTTCTAACCGCTGCTATATACTCTTGTTTTATCTATGGTTATCTTTATCACAACTTGCTAACTTCAAATAACAATACCAATATCAGTTAAATTAATAATTTAAATTGCTTAAAAACTGATGACATAAAGAATTAAACAATATTTATATTTAGAATCAGGAATGCTGTGCTAGCTAACAGGTGTAAGCTCATAAGAAAGAAAAAATAAATGTAATCTTTCAATTCAATTCAATTTTAATAGTATATTTGATCAATTTTTTTACAACAATAAAATATAAAAGCTGTTTGAACTAACAACACTTCTTACTTCGCCAACTTCAATTTTGGAATAAAGTATCTTTACTTTTTTACCCGTATGAGAAGACATTATTTAGTATATATACAATGACAAATATTAAGATATTATATTTTTAACTTCTCGTAGGGAAAAAAATTGAAATCGAATATGAAAATTTTTATATATCTTTATCTTTACGTCTCATAGGTTTCTGAACCTTGTGGCATGTGTGTGTATATGTGTGTGTGCGGATACAAATTTTCGTCGACTACTTAAAGAACACGGTTTATCCGATTGGAATTATTCAAAAAACAATCGATTCTATTAATAAGGAGACGTGCTGATTAGTTTTCTGCACAGGCAGGTCTAGCCGTTTCGATGATACGGGGCAAAAAGTGCCAAAAACGGTAACTCAGTTTTTAAGAAAACGGAGGGTCCGATTTTAATAATTCAGAAAATATTTTACTTGTAGATGAACGACTGAATAAATTTTTGAGGAGGCAGGTCTAGCCAGTCGGTGATCTAGTATTAAAAAAAGTAAAAATAAATGCCATTTTGAGGTCAAAAATGATCATTAGGCATGCGCACATGAAATTATCAAATATTTTATGGAGATTTTAATAATGCGTATCAATTTTGTTTACATTTCTATGGGTTTCGTAACATCGATATTGCGTCTCTATGCTGCAAAAGCAGTGCGATTGCTTTGAAGAAAAGTTCAAAATTTAAAAAATATTTCAAAGTAAAAAAAAATTCTTTTTATTCCAAAAGTTTTTTTTTCAAAGAAGTCATTTTTGTTAATTTAAAATTTCTCAAAAGTCTAATTTTTTCAAAGTCTAAAATAAATTTAATCCTTTTTAAAAATTTAATTTTTGGTACGGAAAGTTCCAACAATTGGCCTCAAGGCACGATGCCATACACCACTAGTTTTATTATTTTATAGTACAATATTATTGATTTCTTCAATTAAAGAAAAGCTATATATTCAAATTGAAATATTTGCAAAAAATACCGGTTGCGAATGATTCATTGTACTGCGCAACCAACCGACTAGATGGAGCACACATTATCGATCCAATAATTCCGTTTTTGCTTTTGACATTAACACAATGTCAGAAAGAAAATTGATAATATAAGGCGATAAGGAACAACAAATAATAAGATGAACTTTAAATTGTTAATGTGTTACAAGATTATAGAGATATAAACTAAACATGCCAAGAGACTTCGTAATGGTTCACTCAGATTTTACTGAGTGTAGTTACTCTATAAATATGTGTTTTTGTCAATTATAAACATTAACATATAATTTCAAAACTATATATTATAAAATCATATAGTTTAGTGATTCATGATTATTTACTGTACGTCTGATGTTGTGCAAATCAAGTGGTTTAATAAATATGTTCGGAATCTATTAAAAAAGTACACCAATGTTATGATTAAAATTACTTAATCATTTTTATTTTATTTTGATTTGCGCAATACACTTATAAAATGGCACTTGGCCCTGGTTCTGCTTTAAAAACCACTTCTGTTTTGCAACAGCTTTTAGAGGAAATAAATTTTCAAAGAACTAAAGAAATGAGACAACTTCTAAAAGATGGTATTTAATTGTTAAATAATCAATCTGAAAATCAATGTAAATGTGTAGCTAATTTATATATTTTCTTCTTTTATAGATTCTGGATTTGTAATTTTGCAAGGCACAACATATTGGACAGATTTATTTGTTCGTCATTTCTTATTCCAAACAGAGCAGCAAAATACCATTGATTGTGATGATTTATTATTTTTTGTTAGGAAAAAACATGTTAAAGGCACATCTAGGTGTCATCCTAAATTTGAGGTACATATAGTATATAATATTTATAAATTTTTAATAAATTTTTAAAGTTTACTTTTTTTATGACTATTTATTATAGACCGATGTAGATGTTTTTCGCAAAGATTCTCGAAAACTACCTATTGGTGATCCTGATATTGATTGGGAAGAAACTGTTTATTTAAACTTAGTCATTCATCAGTTTGATTATACTTTGACGCTTGCAATTTGTACTAGAACATCACCTAAGGAGTTACAAGTTCTGAAAAGACATTCTCAGAAGGTATACGGAACATCAATATTTGTATTTTTACACGAAGTCAGGAGCCATATAAATTTAATACATATTTTACATAGTAGATAAACTACAACTTATAAATTAATAAATATCTCATTACTCTTAGAATTTTTGTATTGTTTATATTATTGAATCTTGAATTTATAACACAATAGTAGAAAATTCCAAATATTGTTTCTTCAAATTTAGTTACTTATCTAACTTAACTTATGTAAGTTATTTATATTATTATATGTTACTTTACTATCGCATGAATATGCAGTATGAAATTATATGCTCTATTTGAATGGCTCTACTTATTATAGTAAATAGATTGAAAACATTAAAAAACTGATAATATATAAATAACTCATTAATTTATCTTTTTGTTTGTAGGTTTATGCCTCACCAAGCAGACGTAAAATGGACACCAAAGGGGAAGGTGAAGAAATGACCTACCCACACATTTGTTTTATGGTTGATAATTTTGATGAAGTTTTCTGTGATATTCTTGTTCGTGATGGTGAAATGGTCTGTGTAGAATTAGTTGCTAGAGATAGAGATGGTTCTGTACAAGGTGTCATATTTCTTGGTTCAATCAGATATGATGCACTGAAGAAAGTGTATGATGCCAGAGTGAGTCAGATTTTTGCATTTATAATTATATCTTATTAGTGGCAGTAATATAATTTATTACATACTATAAAGTATGATTCTATATACTTATAAAGTGATTGTGCCCATGAAAATTTAGATAATTATATCTATGTATATACTTAGTTTTATATGCTATTTTATGAATAGCATTTATAAAATATAGTTTTATCTTTATGATTTCAGCAATCTAGTCTTAGTACCAAAGTAGCGCAGCGTATGACATTTGGTCTATTTTCGAACTCGGCTACGCAACGTTGTGAATTTGTTCGAATGAAAGGTCCTCAGGGCAAAGGACATGCAGAGATGGCTGTCACAAAACCTCGGGGATCAGGAGTAGAAACACCCACTAGCGAACCCGGATTTTGTATAACTGATGGCTGGGATGAATGGGATGAGAATCCGGAAGAATTTTACAATTATAGACATCAGAGAAGGTGAACATACATTCATTACATCATGCTCAATCATACTTTTATCCCAGAATATGCTTGAATAAAAAACTTGTTAACTACCCGTAGGGCAAGTTATAGTAATCGCAAAAAAATCGAAAATGAAAATTTTTATATATCTTTACGTTTCAGAGGTTTCTGAACATTTTGACATACCTTAGAAAAAATGGATGTATGTGTGTGTGTGTGTGTGTGTATGTGTGTGTATGTATGTACGTGTGTGTATGTATGTGCGGATACAAATTTTCGTCGACGATTTTGGGAACACGGATCAACCGATTTGAATAATTCAAAAAGCATTCGATTCGTATTGATAAGAAGACGTGCTGATTAGTTTTTGGCGAAGGCAGGTCCAGCCGTTCCAAAGATACGGGGATAAAAAGTGCCGAAAACGGTAACTCAGTTTTTAAGAGAACGAAGCGTCCGATCTTAATAATTCAAAAAACATTTGACTTGTATTGACAAGATGAAGAATTGATCAAATTTTCATGAGAGCTGGTCTAGCGGCTTCGGAGATCTAACGAAAAAAGTAAAAAAAAATGCCATTTGGCGGTCAAAAATGATCATTAGACATATGCACATCAAATTATCAGATATTTTATAGAGATTTTAACAATAAGTATAAATTTTGTTTGCATTCCTATGGGTTCCGTACCAATGTTTATTCGTTAGACGGCGACGCGGCGCTTACGCGCTTTGACATTTTGTCTTTATGCAGTAAAAGCAGTACGATTGCGTTGAAAAAAAGTTCAGATCTTCCCAAATATGCCAAAATAAAGAAAACATTATTTTTTCCAAAAAAAATTAAAAAAAAAAAAAAAAAAAAATCTTTGTTAAGTAAGTATTCTTTGTTAAAAAGTAATTTTTTGTCCAATTTATAGTTTCTCAAAAAACTTATTTTTTCGAAGTAAAATTTTTTTAAAAATGTCTTTAAAAATGTTTTTAAAAAAATAATAATTTTTGGTACGGGAAGTTTCAGCAATTTGCCTTAAGGTACGATGCCTTAATTGCCTTGAGACAGAATTCCACTTACAGCTAGTTTCTTATGTTATTTCAGGCTTAGTGACCCAAGCGCCAATCTTAATAACTTTACCCGCGGCGGGTGGAAAACTAAGCCGGACACAATCGGCGCTAAATGTCGGTCAGAAAATGAAGGACTCGACTCTCTTGAGAATGGGATGTCTGAAATAGAAGCTGGGGATTTACGAGATGGTATGTATTAAACCATACATGTTTTATAATACTCTGTTTTTGGTTTGTTGTTGTGAATTTCTAAACATAAAAATTTGAGATTTTAAAACACATTGCTGTGAAATATACAAAGCATCTTGATTTACACATATAATAATGAGATTCTTATGTTATAATTTCTTTAATTCGTGTAATTTCAAGTTCTATATAAAGTAAAAAGACTAAAGTTCTTCTATCTTTAATTGGCGAAGTGTAAAAGCACCAAAAAGGTGGAAGCAGCCATTGCAATTTTGTTTATGTGTTTTCTTATGAAACCAGTTTTTCAGTCAATAAATCAACCGTCAAAGCTAAAAAATTTTTTAATTCACTTGTTTTGAATAACATGGTTTTATACCGCGGTTATATAAAAATCTCGAAAAGGTAAAGATAAGTTTTTATGGCAAACTGTTTATATGATTTGATATAAAATTTCTGGATGTCTATTTTACTATGGGTGCGTTCGACTTGGACGCTTACGCGCTGTGAGCGCTCACGCTTATAAGCACGAATTTTTAGCGTTCGACTTGGCCGATAAGCGCTCAGAATCGCTAACTAAATTCCGTTCGTTTTGGAAACTGTGAGCGTCAATAAGCATCAAAATGGCGGCAACTGGCGGTAACGGTAATTGTGTAAATTTTATTACTTTCTGGATCATTCAGCGGGATTATAAACAATTTAACAATTAATAAATAAATGAAATTTGGTTTGCTTATGCTTAATTCATATTAATATTAAAATTAAAATTTAAAATTAAATACAAAATACTTGCAGAGAGAAACAAATAATCATTCACTAAATAACATAATTGAAATAGAGAAATGCAAACTAATACACAAAATGAAATTTAACCGAATTAAAACAAGTGCAACAATAGACACAAATCAAGATATACATGAACACTACACGAGACAACACAACAATTTTCACATTGAACGCAATAGAAAAAAGAATTTGAGAGAAAATGTCATATGGAGTGCTACCAAAATATATAACGAATTGCCAGACTATATTAAGATGACCAATGATAATGAAAATTTTAAAAGAAAAATAAAGAAGTACTATATAGAAATTGAAGACAAAGAAGACTGAAGAGTTATATATATATATATAGATATTATATTAATGAAATAGATATTATAGTCAAATGAAATGTAAATATTATATGAAAACTGTTTTTCATAATCTCTCATACCAGGCACCTCTGTCTGACTGAGATATGAAAATAATGTATATATGTAAATAAATAAAATAACGTTCAAAAAATTTATATAAAATTATTTAAAATTAATTAAATTTAAAATTAATTAATATTAATATTAATATTAAAAAATAAATGTGATATGCAATTTGGCATTTTTGCGGGATTATATAGAATTTAACAATTAATAAATGAATGAAATTTGGTCAGCTTATGCTTAATTAATAGTAATATTAAAATTGAAATTTAAAATTATTTAAAATTAATTAAATTTAAAATTAATTAATATCAATATTAATATTAAAAAATAATTGTGATCTACAGCTTGCCATTTTTGCAGAATTATAAAGAATTTGACAATTAATAAACAAATGAAATGACAGATAGTAAAAACAACTGACGCTCACGCTCACGCTGCCCTACCTCTGTGGCGTGAGCGCGAAATATGTGCTACGAGCATCCCACGATGATGCTACGAGCGTACTTATGTGACACTCACAGCGCCAAGTCGAACGATGAAAGCGCGCTCACGGCGCGCTCACAGCGCGTAAGCGTCCAAGTCGAATGCATCCTATGTTTATTCATTATGCATGTACCTTGAAAATAAAAATTTTTAATGCTTGTCACTCCATCTTATTTGTCGCACCTTGACATGTTTATTGGCGGAGGAAGCAGGCAGACATCGAAATCAAAAACTAATTGGCTAGTTACGTACAGTTATTTTATCGATATCAGTTCTCTAGAATAGTTATTAAAGTGGAGTGTTCTATTCATTTTTAATTGGTGCATTGGCACAGATTTTAACTCGATTCTAGGTTATTAATAAACTTTACTTATTATATTTTTTTTTATTAAAATATTATTTTTACACTTCTAAAATAAGTAGTGGAATTTTAATTTTAATTAATACAGGATTCAATATCATACAAATGTTTACCTAGTTTTTTAAGTACTTATATGTATATATAATTGATAAATTTATGACTTATTGCAATATTTTATACGTATATATCGAGAGATATCGTTACTTCATTTGTTTGAATCTCTACTAGAATGACTGGTGATAACACAATTTATTGACTAATGATCTTTTTCTAATAGTCTTACAATTATTGTTGTAAATACTGACGAACTGGCCACACTTACACACAAGCATTATTATCGCGTTTTATTTTCAATGTAAAATGTAGTTATTTAAATATTATCTTTTGACCAAATATTTTTGATCTGTTTGCAGATCAATCTGCTTCCTCCGCCGGCGATAATGTCGAGAAAGAGACCGCTTGTTGTTGTTGGCGCAACGGTGTTAATACGAAAGAATCCAATAGTTGCGTTAAATCTGCATCTGTTGACATGAACGAAGTGTATTGCCGTGTTTGTGACGAACAAAATCTCGACTCTCCCGCTTGTCTTGCCAATGTGACACCTAAAAAGTCACGAAAAGCACCCGTTCAGCCTACATTGCTCAAGAACGAGAGCGTATTAGAAGTTCCAGGCAAAAATGGAAATAAGTTGACAGATATGGTGAATAGTAAACCAAAAGAAGAAGAGAGGAAACGCCGTGCTTCTTTTGTGGATAAAAGAAAATCGGAAAATATAGAATTCGAAATTGCTGATGATGCGTCATCTTTAAATGACCAAGATACCGATCTCAGCAAGCCGACTAAACTGGGCAATATTGAAGACAATGACCCAGCGCTGGTAATGGTTAATGGCACTGAAGAATTACCATCCGTCGAAGTGACAACACGCCAGAAGACTGCAGCGAAAGCTACTGTAAATACCAAACCTATGAATAGTGTTAAGAATAAAGAAGCCAAAAAGACTGATCAAAGTAACAAAAATGTTTGGAGTCGCTTGAGTGCACAGAAGAAGAATAATAATGTATCACGTACGACAAAGAGCGCTCCCAAGCGCGAGGTCGCTAAACCCGCTCCAAAAATAGTACAAAAAGATAAAAAGTCTGTTAAACCTATTGTTAGTATGATGAAACAAATTAATATTAAGGATTCAAATAAAACGTCCGCTAGAAAACCGGTAGGAAAAAAATCAAAAGATCTTGAAACTAAAATCGTACCAAATCAATCAAAAGTTGCAGAAATCGAAAAAACTACGGATATCGAAAATAATATTATATCAAATGAAACTCCAGGTCCTATCGACGATGTAACAGATAATAATGGAATCGAAAAAGCACCATCTAACACTAATATGATTGTACCATCTAACACTGATTTGATTTTGGAAGAACCTGACGTAGATTGTCCAAATTCCAATGGCCTATCTGAAGATACAAGAGAAGATCTTGAAATAAATGCAGCAGTAAACAGCAATTGTAACAGCGAAAACTTAGTAACTTTGCCGTCCATTATTAATGAAAAAATTGACAATAGCCGTGGTTACGAAATGATTGATGAAATGACGCGTTTTAAGAGAAATTTTGATCATACGGCATCACATATCACGACAGTAAAAGTAGGCGATCGAACTTACTGCACTTTGCCTAAACGTAAAAGAGATTCAGTACATCACAGCATGTGGTATAGAGAGACTGTTAGAGTTCCAATGAGAACTACACCAGATGGGACTGATATTTATTACTGGTGCGATATATCAAAGGAACAAGATAAAAATGGTAAAAATTTATATTTTGGTATAATTGTTATCTGTAAAAGTAGCTGAATGTAAATATATAAACTATTTGTTTATTAAGATTAGTAAAGCGTTAATGGTCAAGATAAAATAGGTGATTTGAATAATGGATTTTCCTTGCAGAACTGGACGACGGAGCACACAACCCATTGTGGGCTATGCGAGGTTTCACTCAGACTTTCCATTTTTGGAAAGAGAACAGACGACAACAATCTACACCTCTGAACGCCTTTTTAACGTATGTTACGCTACCTTGGTGGAGCATAGCTAAAGGTGGGAAGAATTTTAAATACGAAAAAATATTGTTAAATTAGATTTTGCTTCTTCCCATTGTGGTTCTTACTTTTTTTTGTTTGACCGATAAATCGTGTTAAAAATTGATATCAAACGTATTTTATCACGCATTTTACTCAAGGGGTCATTCTGGTTTAGAGGCATATGCTTCATATGAATTTTATGCGATTTTTGAAAAGCTGTAAAAAATGTTTTTACTATATTTTTTGTTACACATAATTGATTAATGTTTTGAGACTCGAACATACTCATGATTTAGGCCCTCAAAATAATCCGAAGAAAATTATGTATAAATTAATAATTTAGAATATAGGTGCTATTATATGAACTATGGACAAGTTAAAATCTGTTTTTTCATAATATAGCAACTGCCTGGAAACAAATTACAACTTTTTTTTAAACTCTCGATTTTTTTAAAAAATCGAAATTTCGAGGGTGAGCGTAGTTTACAAATAAAGAAAACTCTATAAAAATTTTGAGTAATCGGTCCAGTAGAAGTTGAAAAATCGTGGGTATCGCATCGGGAAAGACCGTTTCGAGAAAAACCCTTTTAAAGTTTCGCGGAGAAAGGAAACAAAGTAAGATGATCGTGGTCTTCGAAAATAATTTGAATGATGAAAACTCCTATTCTTGAATGGTTAATCTTTTTTTTTTTAATTATAGATCAGAATACTTCGTTAACATTATATTTTTAAGTTTATTTTTATAATGTTATGTTATGTTAAATTTATAAAATATATTTTATCTATCTATGCTTTCAGATATACTGGATAATCGCGAAGGACCCATTCTAACATTCTAAGCAACTTGATAAACGTTTTACTGCGATGACTAATTGTAAGAGAATTTATAAAAAATATTCATAAAATATATGTAGCTGTGTACTTTAAAGTTTGGGTCAATACTGCCAAGACCTTTAATCAGATCATATTAATTTACGATGTTGTGAAGTGTGATTTTTATTAAGAGTGTTAGAAGCTAGTCCATATTTATATTTTTAATAAAAACCAAAAAATATCATTCCAAAATAATAATTCCAAATCGAATTTTAAATGTTTAAGTTTATAGTTACATACCGTTAGGTAATAATTATATGTGATATTTGCTTTTATTTACTTCTATGATGCCGATATGTTGCGCTTTATATCAGTTATATAAATTAGTACATACCTTATGAGACTATGATATTATTAGCGTATTTTAGATTATTTAATGAATTTTTACTCTAAGAAATATCGTGTATTAAACGATAGAGTTGCATAAATTTAATCTTATCTCCGCATTTTTATTATTTTTATGACTATCAATGGACAACGCATATGAATTGTGTTAATGTTAATTATGTATCGAAGTCAAATTTATTAAAATTGATATTTATTAAATACTGTTTCTATTAATTGTGTATACATTCTTATCTTCCTTAAGGTTATCGTGTTAAGAGGTCATAGGTTAGTTCATGTATGTGTCTCTTTTTGACTCATAATGCACAGGCTTGAAAATAGAGATGCAAAAATTTCGTCGTATTAGATGCTGTGTGGGCTCCTTGGCTTTTGGAGACAAATACGGATATATTCTCACATATTTATGAATCAGTTGATTTATGTGTTTAGTTTGGTGATGTGTTATATGATATAAGGATTACATAAATAACAGGTAAGAATAATATATTTTTAGATAAAGAAGTAATTGATTTCTAAATTAGAAATCAATTACTTCCAATTCTAATAGTTTCTAACGAAAAAAGTTTGTTACTGATTTATAGTTATATTCTGGTTATTTGTGCATCCTCTGTTTATTAAAATAATAAATTTTAAATAATGGTTATTTACAGTCCCTTTCTGCTAAAACTTGTATAGAAACTGTTTTAGAATCTGATACAACTTCAATTCAAATTACTGAATTTTGACCAATACTTTTGAAAATATTTTTTCTAGGATACTTATACATATTCTGTAAAGTGTCCAAAATGGTAAATACAGTATTTTGTTACCGCTTCCTTGCGATTGCGTCATTACAAACACTTCTACTGTTTTGTAATATTGTTTCTTCACTGTTTTCTTATAAATTTGATAGCCTATTTGAACATAATTTTTCAAAGGCTTAAAACTATTTGATTGAAATTGGATCATCTTTACGCTTTACGTATCAAAATTGTTTTGAATTTTCTTTCGTTAAACAATTTGCAACTGTTTGAATTAATTAAGTTGTTCGTGTGTTTGAATTTTTAAATTCATAAATATATGACATGCTGGTTACATTTAAAACAATGAACCCACATAACATTAATTAACAAACGCCGTATATGTAGGTTTAACATAAATAAGAGATTTGGATCAAGGTCTATAAGTAGTGCAAAGTATCATCATTTTTGTGCATTCATTTTTGAAACCGGTGTGTAGTGGTAATGTTTGTTTATAGGTTCTATTTTATCTACACCTTTGAACTGAGAATAAGAACTTTATTATAAACGAACACTACATGTTTTATACAATTTTGAATTGCATTACCATATAAATTACGAAATAAAAATCACGTGGTCATTAAAATCAGTGTTTTTAATACTTGATCTCGATTTTACCTGTCTTGTTTTTTAGGCGGCATAGGTAAAAATCGTTAATTTGCTAGTAAAATTTGTTTAGTTTCTTCAAATGTTTTCATTTTTTCAAGATGGAGATTGGAGTCTGCAAGATTCTAACCATTCTATTCTTGGTTAGTTGTGCGACTTGTTGCGTCCGCAAGCCGCCTGGTTACCTGCACCATCAGACGCGCAATCCTGGGGATAATGGCTACAGCATCACTGTTCAAAAAACTAAGTCATATCTCGAGACCGACAAATATGTTCCAGGCACCGCCTATACCAGTAAATATCTGTTACTATATATCATATATTTAATTGTTGATTGATATATTTTTCGTTTATTTGAATTGGTCTTAATGGATATGCAAATACCATTGTACGAATCGAATGAATTAATTGACATAGAACAATATGCCAAAGACCTTACATATAATTTATGTAGATTAATTTGATTGTTTCATTTGATCGTTGTTAAAGAAATTAATTTGTGTTACATAAGGATGATTTTGTGCTTTTCATAAAAAATAATTAAATCTTTTTAACGTTCAAATGTATAATTTAAAATTTCAGTAACCCTTGCCGGATCAAGAACATTTAACAATTTGCAACAATTCACACATTTTATGTTAGCAATAGAGCCAGAAATTCTTAAAGATGCTGATGCCGCTGATTTGAGTCCACAAAGGTAATAGATTTTTTTTTTAATAAGCGATTTTTTTATTTTTTATTTTAAAAAAAGTTAATATGAAGAAAATGTTTAACTGAACGGTTCATTTTTTTAATAAACTTTTAATTTATTCAAAATATTTAAATTTAGTTCATTATATTTGGTTTGTTTGGCGATTTGATTCATAATCAAAAGCTTGATGATTGCTTTTGAGTGATTTTTTTATGTTTTTGATTTTGGACTAGATTGATCAGTCGGAAGTCTATCGCTTTAAAATTTATCAGTATATGATATTTATACGGAAAATAACTTCATTGTGGCATTAGTAAATTATTTCTCCTTTGCTGATGTTATTCTCTATTTAATAAAAAGTTTCAAAGCTTGACTAACTAATGGGGTTAGTTCAGTTTAAGGCATCGTGCCTTAAAACAAATTGTTGGAACTTTCAGTACCGTGATTAAACACAAAAAAATGTGTGCACATTATTAAAATCTCTATAAAATATCTAATAATTTGATGTACATATGTCCAATAAATATTTTTGACCGCAAAATGACATTTTTATTGAGAGCCCATAACAGCTGGACCTGCATTTCCAAAAGTTTAATCAGTTCTTTATCTTGTCAATACAAGTACTTGTCCAATACTCGTACAAGTAGTAAGATTTTTCGTAAAATCATTTTTGAACTATCAAAATTGGACTCTCCGTTCTCTTACAAACTGAGTAACCGTTTTTGGCACCTTTTGCCCGTATCTAAACTAATCGGCATGTCTCCTTATCAATACGAATCGAATGTTTTGTGAATTATTCAAATCGGTTGATCGGTGTTCCCGAAATCGTTGACAAAAATTTGTATCCGCACACACATACATCCATTTTTTCTAAGGAATGCCAAGATGTTCAAAAACCTTTGAAACGTAAAGTTATATAAAAAATTTCATTTTCGATTTTATTGCGATTACTATAACTTACCCTACGGGAAGTTAATTATTAGATTGCCTTAAAATAATTTGTTTCTGTTATCAGGCTCGGTCAATTTGTACTCTTCCCTGATGCTCTTGCACAATACAAAGAAGACTGCGTTAACACCGTTGTTGAAGCAAATTCATTACCCAAAAGCGAAGTCAAAGTAATGTGGATGTCACCGCCTTCCGGTTCTGGATGTGTGGTTTTCAGGTAAAATTAGTATGCACTAATATAATGATTAATAAATATATAAAGTTATTAATTTTATACTAGGGCTATGGTCATGGAAGACCAATCTAGATGGTGGTCTGATGACGGCTCATTAAGCTTCAAAATGTGCGAAGAAGATGATGACAATAGATTACCGGTAGTCAAAAGTGAATGCTGTGCTTGCGATGATGCTAAATATCGAGTAAGTAAAAAAAATTCACTTTGATTTGATTAGTTTCAACTTTCAGTTTTAGAATGTATAGAAAAAATCAATCTTAATTCAAAATAAACCATATCGTATAATAACACCTCTATCAGTTGTAGTGTTTTCAAAATATCAAAATTATAGTTTTATAGTTTGATGAGAATATACTATAATAATTTAGCGTAATAAGAATTTCCAGAAACTTAATAACTTTTATTAATAAGCAATTTTTGATTTTTATAGTAATCAATAAGCAATATCAAGGTGAATTATCAATTGAGACATATAAAATAGAGAATCAACTATTTATTAACTTCCCTAAGAAGTTTATATTTTCATCGAAAAATCCGATTCGCGAATTTTATATTTTCTGTACGTTTCAAGCCATTCTGAATCGAATGAGACTAAATTGCGTGAGCAGATTTTTTGCCGTAAATCGACGTTTTCTCAAAAACAGCTAGACCGATTTCAGAAATTTCAAAATCCATTTGATGTATATCGATGAGGATTATCGTTTCTCAGTTTCGTGCGACAATCGGCCGAGCCGTTTCTTTGTAATTTGGAAAAAAGTGTTAAACTTTTCTTTCACATTTAAGCATATACTACCGAATCGATTTTAAAAAATCAAAAACTTTTCGAAAGATATTAGTTGCAAATGATACTGATTAGTTTTAGGTGAAAATCCACCGAGCCGCTTTCTTATAATTAACTGTCTAAAAAAAAATGTAAGCCGATTTTTATGGAACTTTTTTTGGCGATATATATATATATATATATATATATATATATATATATAATATATGATTTAGTTGTTAATTTTGATGTTGAGATATATGAGTAAGTTTTTGTGGGCGATACATCAATGAATAAAATTTATTCTTCTTCATTTCTTCCACAAGAACTTACTCATATATATGTAAATATATCATGGTCTTATAGAACATACTGAAATATTACGGCCTTAAGACAAGTAGTTTAATTCTAAAAATTTATTAAAGTTTGAGAAAATGAGTAGTTTTTTTGTCGTTAAAATTAAAATTAGTCGATTTACTTGGTCTAAGTAAAGTCCTGCGGAAACAGGTTCAATTTTAAAAATTATTGATTTCTGAAAATTTGCTTTTACAAAATACTTCGAGTTAACGTGTTCGTTCGTTTTCAATCACGTGTAATACATCTACTCGGAATACTTTTAATCGCTCATAAATTAATTTATTTTTTATTGATTAAGTCGATTATTTACACATATATCGGGAAGTTCATGTAACTTGCCTCAAGGCAGAATACCAATACCAACTAGTAATATATTTCATTCAAATGTGTATATTTCAATACAAGGTTATTAGTCCATAAGTCAACCGTAGATTTTAAAATAGACCATTTAGTATGAAGGCATTAAACAGATTATTTTTTCAATGATGACATTACAATGGTTTCATAGTCTAGTATGGAAAACTATTTAGTCCAATGAGTTATATTACGTGACATTAACTGCTACATTTGCATATTTATATATATATATATATATATATATATATATATACATTTATTGCATATATACATTTGCAAATTTTCAAATATATAATATGTTTTGATTTAATATAAAACCAGGATTTGGTTACCGTGACAAATCGAAATGATATGAACTCTACTAACATTTCAACGAATTTTAATTACGTTGGAAAAATGTAGTCATTATATATCGAATTGTGGTAAAGGACAGCGATTCCCTAGCTGCTTTCTCTGGCTATGTCATATAAATATATAAACTCACAATTTATTTATAATATAAAATAAAATTATCATCTGTTATTTCGTACGTTCTATAGTTGATATTTGAAGGATTATGGTCTAGTGAAACTCATCCCAAAGATTTCCCAATCAGTTCTACATTCACACATTTCTCCGACGTAATTGGTGCTTCTCACGATCCATCATTTAGTTTCTGGGGCGAGAGACAATATGCTACCGACGGTTTCCGGTAACTGATATACTTTTTCATTATCAGTGTCATCCAATATTTTTAGTATAAACAATATTATCTTTAAACAGTACTCTTGCTGAATGGGGATCAGGAGGAATGCTTTTGCAAGAATTAAGAACCAACGGAAATAGGCTACGTTCAATTATTAAAGCAGCCGGTTTATGGTATCCTCGAGTTAATACAAACACCACAGCAACTTTCAAGGTCGATAGAAAGCATCCACGTGTTTCTTTGGCTTCTATGTTTGGTAATGAGATTATAAAAAATGGAATGAACTGCTTGAGCTTTGAAGCTAATCTTTTCGTTTGGATTTTCATATTATATGAGTATTAAAGTTTGCTTTTTATTAAAGGACCATCTCCTGATTGGGTTGTTGGAATCAATGGATATGATCTGTGCCAAGAAGATTGCACGTGGAAGGATTATGTTACAATGGATCTTCTGCCATACGATGCCGGCACTGATAGCGGTGTTTCTTATTTGGTTGGTTAGAAATTTGATCTATAGGATATCGAAACTCTTAATTAAGAAATATTTTTAAAGTTAAAATACTTTTTTATCATATTTTTTTTAAGTATTATTAACTTCCCGTAGAGTAAATTATAGAAATCGCAAAAACTCCAAAATGAAATCATTAATATATCTTTACGTTTCAAAGGTTTCTGCACATTTTGGCATACTTTAGAAAAAAATAATAGAAAATATAATATGAAACTAGTGGTGCATGGCATCGTGCCATCGTGCAGGAACTCTCCGTGCCGAAAACTGAATTATTAAAACAAACTGCAAAATTTTGAAAAAATTAGATTTTTGAGAAATTTTGAAATTTTTGAAAAATTTTGACTTTTTTGAAAAATTTGATTTTTTTTCTGTATTTTGATTTTTTTTAATAATTTGAACATTTTTTTGCTTAGCTGTTTTGGTGTCGAAATATAAAAGCGCGTGAGCGCCGCGTGGTCGTCTAACGTGTAAACATTGGTACGGAACCCAGATAAATGTACACAAAATTTGTACTTATTATTATAATCGTTATAAAATATCTGATAATACGATGTACATATGTTTAGTTTTGACCGCCTAATCGCATTATTTTTCACTTTTTTTATTGGATCTCCGGAGACGGTGGACCTGCCTTTACAAAAATTTCACTATTGAAGTTGTTCATTTCGTCAATACAAGTAAAATGTTTTTTGAATTATTGAAATCGGATGTTCCGTTATCTCAAAAACTAAAATACAATTCTTGGCACTTTTTCCCCGTATCTCCGAAACTGCTAGACCTGCCTTTGCTAAAAACTAATAAGCACGTCTACTTATCAGTAGGAATCGAATGTTATTTGAATTATTTAAATCAGTTAATCCGTGTTCGCAAAATCCTTGATGAAAATTTGTATCCGCACACACACACATGCATCCATTTTTTCTAAAGTATGTCAAAATTTTCAGACGCCTCTGAAACATAAAGATATATAAAAATTTACATTTTCGATTATTTGCGATTGCTATAACTTGCCCTACGAGAGGTAAATAATAAAAATACCAACTATGAAGCATTAGTTTAATAAAATATAAACAGCTTTTCATTATACGAATAACATGGTTGCGCTTGTTTATTTTTACAGTCCCCAAATGCGGAAACTAAACCCCGAGAGCGCATGTACAAAATAACTTCAATGTATCCAGAAGATCCTAGATCGCCGTTCTATGATCCTTCTGGTAAAGAAATTCCACCTTTAGCAAGATTGTACCTAGTACGTGAAGCAGTAATACCGAGAGCTTGTGATGAACAATTGCCAACGAGAATTGAGGAAACGGAAAACACTGAAACCACCTCCAGACGTGAGTATATTTAAAAATAATTATAGATTTCAATGTTTTAATTAACAACAATAACCGAAACATGGTCACATTTTCACCAGAGCTTTAAATTGCTCTGAGACTTAAAAGCCCAAAATTTTCAATGAATTTTATACGATCAGTATTAACACACCGTTTTGGCTTGATATTGGATTCTGGAACACACGGTATACTTAATTAATAAATTATATTGTTAATTAAATACATTAATAAATTATGTTGTTTATAACAAAAAATATAAATTTAGAATCAAAGAATTAAATGAAATATTAATCATCGCAAGTAAAATGAAGGTTATACGTATCTCTTTGCTAATATATATATCATATATCATGCATGCGTGATTTTTAATGTTGCGCTAGGATTAGAAACTCTATATAGTTAATTACTAGAAACTACGTTTTGTGATACGCCTAAAGATTATGATTGGATATTTATATAAATGAAAGTTACAAAATAAAAAACGATTTGTAAACATTTATTATTAGGGGCCGTTCAAGTATTACGTAAGCACTATAGGGGGGGGGGGGGGTTGTTGATTTGCTTATGGGGGTTGACATGGGGGGCAGGGGATTCTGGATGATAATTACGTCGTAGGTAGTATTTTTATTATTTTACATTAATTGCAAAGTGTTTACGTAAGCATGGTGGTAGGGGGTAAGAGCTTTGCTTACTTTTGTTGACAAGGGAGATGGGGGGGTAAATAATTGTAATAAATCTGCTTACGTAATACTTGAATAACTGTAGTTGCTAGTTTATTTTATTTTATCAAATCCAGCAAATCCTAATCCCAATTTTGGAAAAAAAATAGACGTTGAAATGCTCTCATCAATATAGAACCGGGTCCTAACCCAGAACTTGGTTATTATATTAGTGGTTCGTTTGATATCGAATAATATGTATTATTATATTTATTTAATTTACTATAAATATATTATATTTAAATATTTAGCAATAAAATTACGATCTTTTTTTGGTATTATATAATTTTAAAATACCGCAAAAGAATTATAGTATTTATATCTTGTTTTATCTCTGACTGCGACGTCAGATCAACATTTGTGAAATATATTATCAAGCTTATCAATAATACAATACTGCAATCAGAGTCATGCCATATCATATACATGGAGGTAATTGACCGTGATTTTGGGACTTTAGATAAATATAGCTCCAAAACAAATTCTGAGTTTGTATTGCCAATGATTTTTTAAAGATGAAAAACTACTATGTAATTAACGTTGAATTTATTTTCTTATAAAATATATTTATTTAAATTATTTTTTAGTATTTTAAATTAAATTTGTTTTATTAATAGAACATTATTATTATAATTGGTTTTATAATTTATGAAAACGTGTACAAAATGAACATACAATAACCTATTATAATTGGCTTGGAATTTATTTTATTTTTAGTTTGACAAGAGTAAAAAGGATAAAATTAAAATAAATTTTTACCAACATATATGTCTAACGAAAGTAATAGAAAAAAATACACATACAACGTTATTCTAACGTTTATTGAAAAAAATAATACATTTTTTATACAATACAATACAATACAATAATTTCTAGCGTTTTTCCAAAATAATACATTTTTATTGTTTAGTTTATAAAATTTATTTTTCAGAATTATGTTTGAACCTATGTCGTAAATTATTTCGGAGTTAAATCGGGACATCAGAATTCATTTTAGAGATATGATTTCTTCGGCAAAGTATCTTATATTGATCCCTTACGTCCTAATATATATATACCTACAGGGCCGGTTCTACCTTGAATACGATGCATGCGAAAAATGTGGGCGCGCCCCTTTGGGGGCGCCCACGATTTGCCTCGATTTTTTAAATAAATTTAAAATCAATGCATTATTGCGTTTTTAGATTACATATATCTAATATTTTGTGTACTAAATTCAGAATTATTAAAAATATTTTAAAAAATAACGTAAATGTTTATATAATTTTAATGATAAACTGTTAAAATAATAAGGGGGAGACGCTAGAAAAATAATGACATGCGGGCACTGAGGACCCCATGATCGGCCCTGTATATATATTAGATAATAATTCTCTTTTTAGCTGAATGCGAAACGACTCCATGGTCAGAATGGTCCACCTGCTCAGCGACATGTGGAAAAGGCCTCCGTATGCGTACCCGAACTTATTTGATGCCAATGAAGGCGCAAATGATGAACTGTGATAGACAATTAGTTTCTAAAGAAATGTGTGTCGCCAAAATCGAGGAATGTGGGTATGCATATAAAAATCTGCTTCTTTTATATTTATATTTTTACAATATTATAATTTGTATTATACCGCTTTTAAAGTAATGAAGTGTCTGTTTTGTTCCAATTTCCAATTTGTAATAGATTAAGTTTCAGTGATTGATATCTTTGAATGGTAAAATTATTGGTAATACTTGATTTTTATATGGACATTAAGGTATTCTGCTAGTTTGAATACAATCAAGATTTGATAAAGATCAGTAACTTCATGTCAACTTACAAATTTTCAATCTGCTGCATTAAAGCTTAGGCAACATATTATTCATTTCAATTTTAATATAAAATTACTAATTTTATTTTCATTTTCTGATGTAGTAATGGAGTTTTGGTTGGTGCAATCGATGAAGAAGATAATGTGGAAGATTTATCTGGAACTTGCGCAACTACGGTGTGGAGCCATTGGTCAGAATGTTCTGCATCTTGTGGAGACGGCGTCAAAAGACGGACAAGATCTTTTATAAATAGAGGAGTACATAAAAAATGCTACCATATTAAAAGGGGTCAGTTTGGTTCAATTTCTATTTTTTATCATAATCATCTCTCTTCATATTTAAAGAGAATTGATAGAACAATCTTGCCATTTACATTCATAAAGAGTCTGGTAATTTTGTTTCAATCGCAAAATTAGAACTTGGAAAGAAACTTATATTTCAAACAAAAAAGCAGATTGTTAACTTCCCGTAGGGTAAGTTATTGTAATGGGCCGAAAATCGAAATTGAAAATTTTTACAGTTTTCGACGTTTTGAAGGTTTCTGAACATTTTGGCATACCTCAGAAAAAATGGATGTGTGTGTGTATATGTATGTATGGATGCAAATTTTTCCAGTCACGTTTCAGGGTGCACGGATCAACCGATTTGAATGGTTCAAAAAACATTTGATTCCTATTGATAGGGAGATGAGCTGAATAGTTTTTGGCAAAGGCAAATCCAGCAGTTAAAGATAAAGAGCAAAGAGTGCAGAAAATAAAAATCGAGTTTTTGAGAGAACGAAGCATCCGATTTGAATGTTCTAAAAAACATTCAATTATTAATGATTGGGAGAAGTGTTTATCAGATTTTGGCAAAGGCAGGCCCGGCCATTTCCAAGATACGGAGCTAAATGTGCAAAAAATAGCAGTTTTTGAGAGAACTAAGCGTCCAATTTAAATGATTCAAAGAACTTTCTGCTTGTCTTAACAAAATAATTGATTTTGGAAAAAAAAATTGTTACAACTTTTTTTTCAATTTTTTTTTTTCAAAAAAATTTTTTTTGTATATCGAAATAATTCAGATTTTATTTTTAATTCTGACTAAATTTCTAATATACTTTGAACAAATAATTTAAACTTTGCAATTCAGTTTATATAATTCTTATAAATATTAGACAATGTTACAAAATTTATAATAATCTGTTTGAAAACATTCAGTATTTCTCGAACATTTCGTTACGGGAAGTTCCAGCAATTTGCCTTAAGGCACGATGCCATACACCCAACTAGTTTTTGTAAGCAGATCGAGCAAATCATTTTATTGCAAAATAAAGCAATATAGTTCAGTTTGAATTTTTAGACAAAAATAATTTTAATTAATAATCTTTCAATTTCCTATGCTAAATTAAATAGTTTTTAATTTTTTAATTTGAAAATTTGCTTTATTTGACTTAAATACTTACATTGATTTTTACATAAAGATACAAATTGTATATACACCTATTCTGGGAATATCATTATACTATCATAATTTAATATTGTTTGCATATATATGTATTTGTTTCAATTTAAAAATTAAATTGTTTTTTATATAAACACAGAGGAAATAGTAGTATGCTCTGTACCACGATGTGAGGATGTAACAGAACGCGACCTTACTTGTCCAGTAACCCACTGGTCTGCCTGGTCTCCATGCAGTGTATCTTGCGGAAAAGGTTTTTCTGTCAGAACAAGATTACTTCTTTTACCAGATGCTAAAAGGGCAGAGGCTGAAGAATGCCGTAATGTTATTTTATCGCAAAGACAACATTGTGAAGGACATGATTTGTGCCATACTACTAAAGGTCTTTATAAAATAAAATAAAATTTCATTTTTCATCAAATAAAAATTTATTTTTCTCAGAGGCTTGCCAGCTGGAGGTTGAAGTAGGCCCGTGCCGCGGCTTCTACTCGCGGTGGTATTACGACCCAGAACAACAAAAATGCGATAGATTTACATATGGTGGTTGCAGAGGAAATGCAAATAATTTTAGTACTAAAGAAGAATGCGAAAAAGTATGCAACGGTGAATAAAATTATCTGAAGCATATCATAGAATATCAAAAAATATATTTGGTAAAATATAAGTTTTTATAAAATAATATAAAAAATATTATCACGAAATTAATACTAAAAATTCTTATATGTTATTTCATAAATAATTAATCATTATATAAAAATAATAAAACAAAAATGATTTTTATTTAGTATTCGTTGTAAGTGCATCAAAATTCAGATTTGTCATTGTTAAAAAATTAACTGTTTCGAAAACATTGGTTGAAATTTGAAATAAATAGAAATACAATGCGTAATGGCACAATGACTTGATTATTTCTGATTTGAAGCGAATCAAATACTCCGGCAATTTAAAACGGCATGAATATGTATATAATTATCATAGAGTACATGTGCAATAGCTTGACCTTATAGAGGGAGAGCATGTCAAAATAAATATTGTTTTATTTTAATAAAATCTTTTATAATAATAGTTGTCTACTACGGTTTTATTCAGCATATATTCAGATGATTTAAAACAATTAGGTTGCTCTTACTTTGGAGAATAAAGGAATGATATTAAATTTCCGGTTTCAACGCAAATCTTTTAAAGCTGTACAAATTATTAAGAATATGTAATATTCGAAGTAACTCAGTACGGACTATCGTTTATCAGTTCTGCGTGACGATCGGCTGAGCCGTTTCTTCGTAATTAGTAGAAAAGTGTAAAATTTTCGTCCACGTTTCAACCATAATTTTGAATCAATTTTAAAATTTGAAAAATATTGATTGGGATTTGCGTTGACAGTTTGTGATTTTGAGCGAATCTACTCAGAAGCCGAATCATATGTACATTCTTTGGTGTGTTTCGTCGGTGGCTACTGATTACCGTTGACGTCCACACTTAAATAAATTTTATTTTTAGAACAAGTAATGAATAAAATTAAATGTGTTAAACAAACTAACGTAATGTATACAATTGCAAATATTATATGTATGTTTGAAAGACATCAATTGAAAATTGTATTGATTATTTTTTTGTGAAAGCAAATATTTTATTTCTGAAATAACAGTTAAACATTTTACCTATATACCTAAATTTATGGATCTCAATTCTTATTGATTAAGTTGATTGTGTATTCGTATCAAGAAGTTCATGCAAATCGTATTAAGGCAAAATGCTACGTACAACTAGTTAACTTCCCGTAGGGTAAGTTATAGTAATCGCAAAAAAATTGAAATTAGAAATTTTTAATTTCGTTTTGAAGTTTTCTGAATACTTTGGCATACCTTAGAAAAAATGGATGTATGTGTGTGTGTGTGTGTGTGTACGGATACAAATTTTTCTCGACGATTTCGGGAACATCGATCAACCGATCTGAATAATTCAAAAAACAGTCGATTCGTATTGATTAGGAGACATGCTGATTAGTTTTTGGCGAAGGCAGGTCTAGCCGTTCCGAAGATACGGGGCAAAAAGTGCCAAAAACGGTAATTCAGTTTTTAAGAGAACGGAGCGACCGATTTTAATAAATCAAAAAACATTTTACTTGTATTGACAAGATGAAGATATGATTAAATTTTATGGAAGGCAGGTCCAGCGGTTATGGACTCTCAATAAAAATAAGTTAAAAAATGTCATTTGGCGAGATTTTAATAATGTGTACACATTTTGTGTAAATTTTTTTGGGTTTCGTAACAAGATTTATAATTACGGTACGGAAAGTTCCACCAATTTGCCGTAATGCACGTTGCCATGTGCCGCACTAGTTTTATTATAATTTGGTTGTTTTTAATGCAAAATAAAATATTAATTTTATTATTATTATTTTAATGATTGATTCTAAATCATTCACAAATTTAAAAATCTGTTCACACACACACACACACATACTTTTTCCAAATTTGGTCTCATTCGATTCAGAATGGCTTGAAACGTCGAGAAAACATAAAATTAGCGAATCGAATTTTTTGATGAAAACATAAACTTCTCCTTCGAGAAGTTAAATATAAGTTTCATGTAAGTACAAATTTGCAAATATGGATTCGAATTTTATGAAAACGAATATTTGTATATTTCTATATATGTACAAATATGTATATTTGTATATATTTTATTTAAAATAAATAGACACACGATACAACTTTCAGCCTTCCAGCTCTCCTATTATTAACACGTGATATTCTTCCTTACCGATTTGTAGATGGCACTGTCAAATTTGAATTTTTCGCAGCAGCAAGTTGTTTCGTGAAACGTCACAATCAGTTCTGTTCTTGCGCCTCGCTTGTTCAACGCGAATTTGTGTACATAATTGTTAAATTTAAGGTTCAATGTTAGTTAATTATAGAACAATTTCAGTGCATGGCTTCTCTGTGAAATAATTCGCTTAGTGTTAATATTAGTAAATCGTTATTATGTTATTTTACAAGGAAAGACTATTAAACGCAGCACAATTAAAACGGCTGAGTGATCATAAATATTCGTGTTCGAATATAAGTATTTTAGACCCTTGGTTACAACCATGGTGGTGTTGGCTCGTAGCACGAGTCCCTTTGTGGCTGGCTCCTAATTTAATTACTATTGTAGGTTTATTTGTAAATATCGTCACCACACTTATTCTCGTATGGTAAGTCGAAAATTAGGTTATATTGTTCATATTCAAACATAAAATATCACACGCTTACGAGAATTTGCCACTTTCTTTTAACCTTCTTAATTGAAACTTTCTAACCTGTGGCTATATTATTTTATTAGGAATAGATTAGAAATGTTTGTGCAAATTTTGTCATATATGTGTTAATGTTTTCATTAAATTATACATTAAACTATAGTTCTAATAAGCACATTGAGCCAATCAATCGGTGTTTATTAAGATGAATAAAACATTGGATGATTAAATATTATTATTGTTTTAAATGATGGTTATTGTTTTAAATAATGATTATTGTCTAAAATAGTTTGTTATAAATTGTATATTTTTCTTTTATCTTTATTATTTGTATTACACTATTACACATTATACACATTATACACCTAAGTCTGTTTTTACACGGTAGATTGGTTCCAGAAGAATCCGTGTAAAAAAAAAACGTGTAAAAAAGACATTGATCTTATACAAAAATGGGTGTTTTGTTCCTAATCTCTAAAACCTATTAAAATTAGTGAAAAACAAGAATTTTTAAGAACAAGAATTCATGTTTATTTTAGTTAGTGCTATTCACATTTGCTTTGAAGTGAAATGTAAAAATTGTTTGTACGCGCTAAAGGGGAATTCACTTAAATCTTTAAGCTAGTGTTCGCAAACTATCGATACTATCGATGGTTTCAGACTTTTTTCTTTCATAAATACTTTTTTGTGATATCAACATACTTCGCAAAAATTATATTTGACAAAAAAAAGTTAAGCACATAAAATTTCAAATCGTGCTAAATGGAATAAAATCGTGTAAAAAAATTAAAAATATTCAATTTTCAAACCGTGTACAAAAAGACCGTGTAAAAACAGACTTAGGTGTATACTACTATTATACTATTATACACTATTACAGTATTATACTATTGTTTGCATTATTTCTTCTTAATTACAATTAAACTTGCTAATTGATTTTGTATTTGAATTAGCCAAAAGATTTAAATTGTGCAATGTATTGCACTTAAAAAACTACTTTTCTTGATTTATTCGAGTTCTTACATTGCTCTGATATTTTACTATTAGTACAATTGCATGGTGTTTTTCAATCAATATATTAATCAATAACAAATTATTGATTTCAAACATAAGATTTTTATAATATAGTATGGGGGATTGTAGTAACTTTAATTTATACACTACTATTATACACATTATACACTATTACAGTATTATACTATTGTTTGCATTATTTATTCTTAATTACAATTGAACTTGCCAATTGATTTCGTATTTGAATTAGCCAAAAGAATTAAATTGTGCAATGTATTGCATTTAAAAAACTACTTCTCTCGATTTTTTGAGTTCTTACATTGCTCTGATATTTTACTATTAGTACAATTGCATGGTGTTTTTCAATCTATGCCTATCAACAATTATTTATTTATTTATTTATATTATGACTAAAACTTTTTTACATACACTTTATTAGTCAATAACAAATTATTGAGTTCAAACATAAGATTTTTATGATATAGTATGGCAGATTGTAGTAACTTTAATTTAGGACTTTAGGACTCTAAAAAGATCATTTTTAGTATCAAATTATAAATGAAGGTAGGATTCTTACATTACTTGCCTCAAACATTTCTGAAAAAACTTGATTGCTTGAATTTTGCTTTGTCTATTATTTGTATATGTATTTTTATGTATTATATAAATTTCGTTATTTTATTTTATAGGTATAGTCCAGATGCAAAAATTGAAGCTCCAAGATGGGCTTGTGCATTGTGTGCATTTGGTCTGTTTGTATATCAAAGTCTCGATGCTATTGATGGCAAACAAGCAAGGCGAACAAACTCATCAAGCCCTTTAGGAGAGTTATTCGACCATGGGTGTGATTCAATTTCTACTGTTTTTGTTGCTCTATCTGCGTGTATTGCCGTTCAGCTGGGAAATTATCCAAATTGGCTGTTCTTCCAGGTTAATTGCGTTTTTGCATACATAATATATGTATATATATACATTTTTTATAAAATGTAGATATACAATATGTGATATGATAAAATTGCTTTTCTATAATTCATTTATAAATGTTGATAGAGATATTTTAATTTATAACAACAATATCATTTGAAGAACATTTTAGCCAATCATTTCCTGCTATTGAAATTTATCATTATCTTCATAATTTTACATGAATTAGCAAAAATACTGTAATATATTATTATTATATTATTTTCAAATAAAAAGGTTTGTAACAAATAAATATTTTTTACTCTTTCAGTGTTTCTGTGCAATGTCATTGTTTTATTGTGCTCATTGGCAAACATATGTCTCAGGAACTTTACGTTTTGGACGAGTTGATGTCACAGAAGCACAATTTACGATATTTGCAATACATATGATATCAGCAGCATTTGGTCCATCAGTATGGATGAATAAGGTCAGTCATTATTTATTTAGATGTTAAAAAATTTATTTAATAAATTATGCATTGACCACTAAATGCTTACTCTCGAGCTCAGTTTGTTTGCGCAAAGCTGGCAAATTTGCACATGAACGAACTCAGTTCATAGGAATTTTTAAAAGAAAATCGCAATTTATATGATCAAATGTAGATCAGGCAGTGGAATTATGTACCTTACCTTGTTTTGAAGTGTATTACACCAAAAAAGATTTATTTTATATTATATTTTACTACATATAGTAAGGTAAAAAAATCAATAACTTCAATTCTTTGAATATATAATTATACACCAATGCGTTTTTTGGGTCTGTGACTTGATACCTTCATTTGTTATTATAAACTAAACTATACTAAAAAAGTGTTTTTTCAGTTTTTTTTATCTCATGGTAATAACATTCTAAACACATTACAATAATTTAAAAAAATCTTAATTTTTTGCCAGAAATTTTATAAAAAAAATGAAAATTAAGTGGTTAATGATATAAATGAATCTTTTGAAATAAAAGGCTTTCTATATACATGCTGCAGTTATATTATTTTTAAAATAAGACATATAATTATGACACTAATATAGAAACTATATATTTATTATATGGATATGAAATTCTTATAGGATATTTTATATAGTCCAGAGTTATATTTATTTTATATAGTCCAATTGCTAATATAAATTATCTAGATTTTTATTTTTATAACTTTGATTTCTTAGTTTGGCTCATGGTTTGAGCTTAGGTTTCTTGTCATTATTATGACTATTGTTTGTGGATGCTGGTCCCTGTACAACATGTTGGCTGTAATTCTAGCAGGAGGCGTTGGCAAAAATGGTTCTACTGTAGCTGTAAGTTTGGAGATATTAGGAAATTCTAATTGTAATATTCGACTAAATAAATGCGTAATCAAATGTATCTTGGTAAAAGTTTGAATATAGGCGTTATTTTGTCTTTAATTTTATTTTACTTTTTAATAAAAACTTACAATAATGTATTTGTAAATGAAATGTTTAATTTAGATGCCAATTAACTTTTTTATTTAGAATCTTAATGAACAATTTTAGAAAGATTTATTTTAAACCCCGATGGACGGAATGATATACAATGAAATAAGATCAGAACTTGTAATTATAACACTTATTTTTTTGGAAATGACAATGTCCTCTGCTTTCTTGTCAGTACAAATATATCACATCCACAATAATATTTTACCTATATTTATAAATACTACAAATACAAATGTATGAATTATGGTTACTATTTTAATTTGTAAAAATACATTGTCACACCATACTAAGTTGGCACAGTTTAAGTTGAACATTTTTTTAGATTTTTATTAATGCTATAATTTAGTTGGCATCTTATTTTTATAATTGATTTGAAATTTTATTATACTCAATTAAAAATTAAATTTTTTATGTGTTTAATAGTTTTTGAGTGAATGTTTTTTAGTATGGGAGAAAAATTATTCTTGATCTTAAACTTAAACATAAATTGTTGGTATTTGGAGTAGGATGCATTAACATGTATAGTTGCTTCTGATCAAAATAACAGTAGAAAAGTAGTTAGAAAACAGTTTTCTTTAAAACTCATTGAATACTTTGTTAATGTTCGGAGCATGTGGTTTAGAGGCATAATTAGAAAGAATAACATTTTGTAGTATTGATTTTTAAACAAACTTCTTTTTTGAATAATGTTTTATGCTAATTTCTTTTTTGTACATATATACTGGACCATTGTTATGTGCATGAATTAATAATCAAACAAATTTTGCTAACCTGAATGAACTTCAATAAATGATAGTATAATTGCAATTTTACATCCAGCATGTATTTTTTTATTATAGACTCATGATGAGATTTGTTGCTACAAGCACAACCTTTCATATACTTTTTTTCAGCTAAAATTAGAAACATGGTGCAGTTAGGAGATGATGTTGCAGTTAACATATATTGTTATATATATATTTTAACATTTATGCTACAGGTTTACATTACAATACTAGGTATACTAATTATTTCTTTTTATTGCAGATTTTTATATATTAATAATAAATTGTATTTCAGGAATTTTTAATCGAATGCAAAGCATGCTTTAAAGCAGTAGAAAACAAATTATTAAATTTATTATATAATTTACTATATAAAATTCTATATATTTTCGAAATTGCGGCATCAAGCATAACATGCTTTGTCATTCTTAGTGCGTATTTAAGTTTTGATTGCCATTGTTATGCTGTTTAATATAAGTTAAATATGTTGTCTATTTCAATATCTTAGATGCCATTACTGAGTTTTTGGTCTTGGAACTATGTTGTATGCGGCATTTTCTTTGCTGGATATTTCCATGTGTTCTTAGGATTTTGTCATGCATTTGTTGCTGGTGGAGTTGGCAAAAATGGTTCAACTGTCGCTGTAAGATTACAAGAGATGTCAATTATTTAATTTAATTATATATTAGTATTTATTATTTTATTAAACATATTAGCTTTTGCTTAGTAGATACCTTTAGTTTATTTTATTTATATGGTGTAAGCGTATATTAAAGATCAAATGGTGTTATTGGGTTTAAGTTGCTCTCTACCCTATTTAATGCTATTTTTGATAGTGCGCACTTGACTTTATGAATCTATATGTTGATTAATCTTGATAACGCTTTGTTAAGGCACAAAATTATACCATCACGAAAAACAATAAAATTTTATAAGTTTTTTATTAGTCATATTTAATATTTTGATCGATTATAGCATAATTTAAATAATCGAGCATTTTTGTTAATTTTATTTTGATTCTCATTTCTGCAATAGCATGAACAGATTTTACTCTATTTAATTCCATATTTTTCCTGATAATAAATATATATATATATATATATATATATATATATATATATGTATGTATGTATGTATTTGCGTGTGTGTGTGACTAAGTGTAAGCCCGGGCTGAATTATATTTATATTCAATAGTATTATAAGTGAAAGTATCAAGTGTTATTTTGGAAAATCTATTAATCTTTCACCTATGGTACTCTACATTCTTTTTTGCACTAACTTTGTCAAATAAATAAAGTATTTAGTAAAAGTAAAATATAAAAGGATTAACCTACTGTGAGTGCAATTCGAAGAAACATATTTGAAGATTTGTTGCTAGTGCAAAAATGAGTAGGTTTATGTTTATACATGATTGTATGTCTATATGTATGTTTATGTATATATATATATATATATATATATATATATATATATATATATATATTATTCCATTATGTATACAACTAATTGATTACCTTTTCATGATCATTTAAATATGTTTAAACTTCTTTTATGTTCAACATTTATTACTTAAATTTTCTTTGTGAGTTTTTATAAATAGCTCTAGGAAATTAATTACCAATTTTTAAATTCAAAGTACTAATATAAATTGAATGATTTTTTCTTTCATTAAGTTTTCGATTTTTCAATATTGTTATTTATATATGTTAAAATTTAGTTTATTCATTTTGTATAAATAATGTTAAGAATAGTTAACAATATATATATATATATATATATATATATATATATATATACAACTATCAATTAAGCAAATATTTCACTATGAATTGTTTTACATATGGAACAATTCTAAAATTTCTTGCATGCCTGATTTTTATTTTTAATCGTATTTAATCTCTTATTCATCTGCACGACAAGATAATCACGCTGCTTAATAATTATTTTACTTTTAAATTATATTATTTCAGCATTATTTATATTATGTATATTAACACATTTTTCATATTTATCTTTTCAGATGCATTCAAATACACAAATTATTTTTCCGTTCGCTTCATACATTGATTTTTGATGAAAAGACACAAGTGTGAATAAGAAAAATACATATTTATTAAATCATATAAATTATACAAACTAATGCTTGCAAATTTATGTTTCATTCGATACTCATAATTTCAAAATTTTGATTTCTTCAGATTAAAATAAATCAAAAGCATTGTTTGAAGCAATTTTATATGTTGTGATTGTAAAATATTCATTCGTAATAATTGCATGATTCAATTGCATGGCGGTGAACAGTTTCCTGGTTTGAATTTGGAAATGAAGTTGATACCAGTCTACATTGCATTTATTTTAGCTTTGCTCGTGATCTACGGTTACACAATCATTATCTTTACAGGAGGTATTGGGAAAAATGGATCAACTGTCGCTGTAAGGATAATGAAAGTTTGTGTATAGTTTATTTATAATTAGTACATTTAAAATTAACTTTTATTTTAATCGAAACAAGAGAACACAATGATTTATGAATTCTCTCCTTTAATTTTATTATTCAATTCTATATTTTTCATTTGTCAAAAATTCATATTTAGTTTAACATTTTTATTACATAAATTTTGTATATCTATTGTTTCATAATATCATTGAAATGATATTGAGAATAAAATAGTACTATACTAAACAATATGAAAAACATATGCTTGTTATTCTTGTGGTTCATAATTATCTTAGAATGCTTTTGTTCATAAACTTTCAATAAGATAACACATTTTAACGCCATATTGTTGCTTTAAAAAAACGTAAATCTTTGCATGTTTTAGTGGCACGTATTTTAATATCTCATTTTGCATGATCAGAGGAATGTATGTTATTGTATGATTATAATTTTATCAATATATTGTTTGTATCAATTTATTTTGTTGCTACATAACTTTTATTTCTGTCAGGGTACAAGTGTTTTGTCACCAATAATACCATTCAGTTTGGTTGTTATTCCTGCATTCATTATTTGCCAGAAGAGTCCAGACAATATATTTGAGAATCATCCCGCTTTGTATATTCTCGCCTTTGGAATGGTAGCTGCAAAGGTCACAAACAGATTAGTGGTACGAACATGAACATATATATATCTAGTATACATATATGTATATCTAGTATATTTCATACAAAATATGAAGTATGTATTTGATATACAATTTATTTGCAGGTCGCGCATATGACAAAAAGTGAAATGGAATATTTAGACTGGGCTCTATTAGGACCATCTTTATTATTCCTAAATCAGTATTTCAACAACTTTGTAAATGAATATTATGTTCTCTGCCTTTGTTTGGCTTTGTCCATCTTCGATCTGATGAGATACTGTGCACAAGTCTGCTTAGAAATATGTGATCATCTCCGAATTCAATTGTTCAGAATACCATATCCACCAAAAAGTGTTGGTTCTACACAAGCACCGCAATCACAAACTGACAAAAATGGTACGCATATGCAGAATCGGTACAAAACTCGACAAAGGAAACAATATCATTGAATAATACGTGTCAGTATATAGTAGCATTCATTTAAGTCGTATATAGGTATTATATATTTATTAATAGTAGACAAAATGTATAATTAATGTTAGGTTTTGAGAATGTTTACATTTTGTCATTTTAATATCGAACTTTGATTTACATGATTTCTTTTTAACTGAACTGTAGATGTTTTGCATTGCTCTAAGAATCCTTTGTCTTCGTGAATTAAACATGATTTCTTTTTATAGATTATGAAATATTTTACCAGTAGAATTCAATTTTCAACATGTAATGATAACAAAGATGAATTTATTCTTATACATTTATATATATATAATATTTAAAAACTCTCTAAGGTATAAAATGTAAAATGTAACGGATTATGTGACTGGACAAATAGAATATTTATTGCTAGTTGATTATAATTTGAGAAAACTTGTTATTCTACTTATATTTAATTTCTACGATTGGCTTCCGTCTATTGTAAATACAAACATAACATTAAGTAAATTTGTTTAGTATAACTAATATACAAAGCATGATTATATTTTTTTGCACATTAGTCAGTGCAACTCAATAAAATAGTTTGGCTGTATCCTGCTATTATTATTACTGTTATTTTATCATTATTTCCAGTATGCTTAGTGATCTGATGTTGCTTCCTCATAATTTTTAGTTTGAAAATTATTCTTACTAACACTTATCAACTTTAATTAACACACACAGATATTTATTCATCTAGCTATCTATGTTATAGCAGTACCGTAATCTACGAATATTTTTAAGTAGTGAACTGCTAATAAATTTAAAAGTACATGTTTTATTTTGCAAATAGCAGGTGATATTAAAATCTCTATGTGGCATCTACTAATTCTACTCATTTTGCATCATTAGTAAAATGTATATATTAATAAAATATGTTTATTCATACATACATAATATATGTTTTAATATAAGGGAAATATGTTGTGTTCTTCAAAACAAAAAGTTTTCTGTAAATTGATTATAAGTATCTTTCTATTTTTTAAATTCTAATCATACATTTTTATATGGTTTACAAACGCTGCTTAATATTATTTGCTTCAAATTAAATAAAAATTGTTATATATACACACATCATAATTTTTAAAATGTTAAGTGTATGAGTTTCGTTTTATGTTTTGGTCATGTTTCTTTGTGTACATTTTTCTTGGCATCTGTTCTTTTGTTCAGTATCTATTTTAGTTGGCAACTAGTTCAAGCAAAGTTAGTATTCATTATATAATCATTGATGTTTGTAACATATTCAATTGGTGGGAGGGAGAAATTTATGTTATATGTGAAATGTTTCTTTTTTTTCATATTTTTTTTGTATTCGTTTATTAGCTCATTTAAATGAATTTTTAAATTATTTTCTATATGAAAACATGTACATTTTACAGCCCACATCAAAATTCGTCAAGAAGGGGAAGAAGACGAAATGCCACTACTAAAAGATGATGAAACTCAATGAGTGCATGTTTAACTTATCTAGTTGGATATACATATATAAAAATAAATAATCTGCCATTAGTCTATATATATTATAAATAAATGTATACATTTCTTATCAATTTATGTGAAATAAACTTAATAATATTTTTGTTTATGTCGTTTGTTTTATTCGCATAACAATGCTTGGTTTTAAAATTGCCGCCCCGGTTAGTTTGAGATGTTTGCCGCCAGGAGTACATTCATACAGAATCCGAAATCCTCCTTCAAACTTCAGTATGTTTTTGTATTTACGCGAGTCGTATTGTGATTCCGTCAGAATATATTTTTAACCAAAAAAGATTAAAATGTGATTTATATTACTACTGTGTAGTTATAAAAGTACTGTATTTCTTAGTTTCTTATGGACTACGTAGTGCGGTAACAAAAAAGTGTAATTCTCTACATTTATGATGCCTTTGAATATTTTATTATATAAATTGCATTATTTTAAGTAATGTTTAATTCAAACAATGCTTAATAAACCTAAGATCAAAGCATTAGTTTTATTTTTTTTCATATTAATAAGAATATATTAACTTTTGGTTAGTTTTAATTGTGATATGACGAATGACATTATAAATAACCTTAAAATAAGAGGAGCGTCTTGAAATGTTCCATAAATATATAGTGACTCCTGGAACCTGTTTAGGAACGATTTTCTTATTAATCTTCTTAGTCCAAAATGTTCGGGGTAAGTTATATATTAAATTTAAATAATTTTATTAACTCATTCATGCATTATTTATGATTTTTAACTTCATATTCTTAAAAAAACATCATACTACTACGTTTGTTTTGCATCGCTTTGAGGTAAACATTAAATAAAGCTTTTTAATTATTTATTAAGATCAAGTTAAACTTCGATTATAAAAATTTACCTATTTTATCTGAAGCTTGTAATTACGTATTGGAAATAATTGAACTCTGAATTGAATTATAAGTATTGAAGTTGTGACTTATACTGAATGTTTTTAATTGTACGAAATTTACAACAACTAGTTGGTATTGGTATTTTGCCTTGAGGCAAGTTACTTAATCAATACAAAATAAATTAATTTATGAGTGATTAAAAGTATTCCGAGTGGATTTATGACACACAATTGAAAACGAACGAATGCGTTAACTTAAAGTATTTTCTTAAAGCAAATTTTCAAGAATCAATCATTTTTATAGTTGAAGCAGTTCCCGTAGGACTTTAACGGTTTAATATCTTCATTAAGACCAAGTACTTTATATTTATACCAAGTAAATCGTCTAATTTTAATTTTAACAAACGCAAAAAAATTACTCATTTTCTCAAACTTTGATGAGTTTTTAAAATTAAACTACTTGTCGTAAGGCCGTAATATTTTAGTAAGATCATGATATATTTCGCCAAAAAAAGTTCCATAAAAATCGGCTTAAATTTTCTTTCAACAGTTAATTACGGCTCGGTAGATTTTCACCTAAAACTAATCAGTATCATTCCCAACTAATATCTTTCGAACAGTTTTTGATTTTTTAAAATCGATTTGGTAGTATGAGCTTAAATGTGGACGAAAAGTTTAACACTTTTTTTCAAATTACAAAGAAACGACTCGGAAGATCGTAGCACAAAACTGACAAACGATAGTTCTCATTGAGATACATAGAATGGCTTTTAAATTTCTGAAATTGGTTCAGACGTTTCTGAGAAAACGTCGATGAAAGGTCTAATTTTGACAAATGCTAAAAAACAATACTAATTTGAAGAATTTTTAAAATTAAACGACTTATCGTAGGGCTCTTAATATTTTAGTAGGATCTATAAGACTATGGTATCTACCGTCAAAAAAAATCATGAATCCCGATCTTTACCAAAAAACTAATCAGATCGATTCCCAACCAATATCTTACGAACGGTTTTTGAATTTTTAAAATCAATTCAAAATTGCGGGCTAAAACGTGGAATTTTTTTTTCATTTTTCTGTGATTTACAAAGAAACGATTCGGCCGATCGTGGCGCAAAACTGACAAACTATAGTCCTCATCGAGATACATCGAATGGCTTTTAAATTTTTGAAATCGGTTTTGGAGAAAACGTCGATTTACGGCAAAAAAATCTGTTGTGTCACACACATATATATTTTCCAAATTTGTTCTCATTCGATTCACAATAGCTTGAAACGTCGAGAAAACATAAAATCAGCGAATCGAATTTTTTATGAAAACATAAAGTTCTCCTTCGGGAAGTTAATAAATCAAATAAAATCTATTACAAAAATACACAAACGTATTTCATGTTCCATCGTGTATTAAAATAAACGAGAAATCATACGAGTTTTGCTTTGCTTGTTTGAAAATGTTCTTTTGAAAATTATAGAGATACTATCATAAAACTTGCTCGGTTACTATTTATGGTGACATAAATTTTTCATGGCATTCGACGTTTCAATGTGATTTTTTGTATTTATACAATTCCTAGAATATTTCAAAATATCAATGCGTTAAATGATTTTCGTTTTAATAGTCATTTTTGTCCAATAATCTATATACTCATTGATAACATTTGTTTCTATTAACATTGTGCGAAGCAATTTTCAGTTCTAATGAGTTTCAATTCATACTGTGTCAGAGAAAATTCTGATAAATATTTATAATTAAAAAATATTATCTATAATGATTTCTAATTACACAAATGATTATTTACACTAGAAAAAGTATTTTATTCATGTTTTATAATTTTACTTCAATGTGCAAAGTACTTTTGACTATATGAAACAAGTTCGTCTCCTGTTATTTACCACTATATTGTTGAAATAGTTCATATGAGAAAATGTTTTCTTACTATGTTGTTTCTTTCTTATTATGCGAATAGAGAAGCGGAAATGCATGCACGTGTTTGCATTATTGGCTAAAATATGAAAGTACTAATACATATATGAATTTTTTTGACAATATAGCTTATATTAAATTCCATTCAAATATTGTACACCATTCTGGAACCTTAGTATTCAAGTACAGGTCTTAGGATTTATAAAATACCAAACGTCACAACACTAGAAGACGCCCTGTTGTCGGGGTCCCGCTGTTCCTAAATCATGGGTTTGTTTATATCACGGATTCTCAAAGTATTCTTAAAACTGTGATAGGCAACTCTTGATAATGTAATTTGATAGCGATACATTTGGCATTTTTTTCTTAAATTATTTTAAGCAAGTTTGATACGAGCAAGTGAGGATTTTTCTAGAATAGTTATAAGTTTTAATTATATTTAGTGTAGACCCTATATAATTATATAGGGTAGAGCGGAGTTTAACGGTCCGCGGATAAAAATGTCCAATGTCTCAAAAACAAGTAATGTTAGGATTTTCTTTCATTTAATTTTATTCTGCAATCTATATAAATTATTACAATAAGCAGAGAATGCTGACAAATATATATTAAAATAAAGTAATTACAAATTAGTTGATACCCCCAGTAGCTACTAGAGCTAATTGAAACATAATAACAAAAAAAACTAAGAACAAAGGAGAAAAAAACAAAAAAAAGTAAAATCAAAGTATTATAGTTAATTATACTATATGTTAGGATTTTTTTTAACAAAAATATTTGATAGTAGAGGGAAATGATATGTAATTAGTCATCGCTAGTTTAGGAGATAAAATGCGGTTTGAAAGTCTATAACAAAAGTATTTTTTTGGTTGTGAGCACTGTTGTTTAGTTTACGAGAACTTAATATAAGTTTTATATTAAGTTAATTGTTTTATAAAATGCAATATTATTTTTTTGTTAGATTCAACAGATGTTTTTATATAATCTTTATAATAGCTTTCGTGTGGGTGGGGTAAAACGGACCAACTGAATATTTACCCAGGCGAAGGTGCAAACAATAAAAAATTCAAGTTCAAAAAGATAATTTTACGATAAAAAATAAAATTAATAGCCATTCCAACTCTGCTGATGAATATTTCTGCCGAAATACCAGATGAAAGTAATATACAGTGATATCTTTGTAAAAATGTTCTTATGAAATTTACATTTTGCTTTGGTTGTTAAGGGTGTTGTTCTTTTTTTTACAAAAAATGCAAGGTATTTGTTTTTGTTTTTCTCGAAGTGTATTTATCATAGAGACATGCGGTTTTTTTTAAAACAAAAATTGCAAAATCATAGAATATTACGAAATTTTCTTTTTCTTTTTTTTCGCTGTTATTTTTTAACCAGGGGGCGCCAAAGTCGGCTTTGCAAAATCGATCTCTTTTGCGGTGCCACAGATAAATCCGTTGCGCATCGCCCGAAACAAAAAAAAAAGAAACTACGTTGAAGAAGAAGTTTGAATCCAGCCCCCCTACCAAAATGAAAGAAATAAAGCAAGAAGGAAAAAATTGCAGCTATTTAAAAAAAAAGGTGTTAAAAAGTGCCTTGTTATTGGGGCGAAAAGCTTCGCAAAATTTTTTTGCGTTATCAAGTTGTTTGAGGTAGGGGGACTAGGTATTGCAGTGGCACCGCATTGAAAAAAGTCATTTTGAGACAAACGTATTTAAAGTTTTATAATAATGTACTAAATACACTATTTAATTTAATGTACTAAATACACCATGGTGTTCAAAGATGCTGACATATTAAAAAGGTCATTTGCTTGTGAATGAAAAAGAGAGCAGCTGGCATACAATAGCTGATCTGTTTGCCCCTGGCTCTCCCATTTTCCATTAAACTATTAAATATTATATACTTAATTTTATTATAATATTAATAGGTAATTATTATAGTTGTTTCTACTGAATGAAAGGTAGGATATTGGCGAAACGTATGGGTATCAAATAAATTTCTAAACCATTCATCAGTTTTTTTATGTAACGTTCGTTCTTTAAACTTAATAAACAAATTTGTAGCTTTTTTAATCAATAGTTTTTTTTAAATGTAAGTATTAAGAATTTTTTCAGTAGTATGTAGTCCTAAAGTTTTAGTACCACGCTAGACGCTCCACGAAATGCATACAACGAAGCGCGGCGGGTGCCAGTGACTTGATCCTTCATCTCGTTGATCCTTGTTATCCTCAGGTTTGCGCGCACCGCCTATATGAACGCACACGCATACCTGACTGTGTTATTATCAGGGATGAATAACTAGAATAGATTCGTTAAAAAGACTCATACTCATTACAAGATCCATCTTGCATACTTAGGAGGCGTCCATTAATCACGTGATCGACTTTTTAAGGATTTTTGGACTCTCCCTCCCCTTTGCTGATACGTAGTGATATTCAAAATTACACCCCCTTCCCGCACCAGACATCACGTGTATTTTTAGTTACGCGAAAAATTGTATTTGTTTTTTAAATTTTATTTGAAAATGGTTGAATTTAAAAAATAAATCAGACAAAAAATATATACAAGTGATATCTTACTATACCCCTACTTATAACTTTCAAATTACATAAAAAAAATTAGATTCATATTGATACATACTTGTTAATGTCAATTTTAGTTCTAAAAACAATTAAACAAAACCCCGAGTTTATTCTATTACGAACAATTTTATATAATTATTTTCAAATATTTATTAATTTTTTGGTTTAATGCAATATAAAAGCTGAGGACGCCTATAGATTTGTTATTTAGAAGTGTCCTGAAAATTTTGTTCTTTTATTTGTGGCTTCTGGGGCTAAAAACTCTGTTTTGAGTAGAACAATTTACTCCTTTAACAAGAAGTCGCATTGATCTAAATTAATAT